TATGTCTTAAACTGATGGTGTATGTGGTTGAGAAACTGTTGTCGTTTTTAATGCATTTGTGTAGATGAGGAGCCTAAAATTTTTGCCCGGAACTGAATCATTGCGTTAAGTTGGAGAAAGCGTACTTCAAGAATACTCTATATACATCTCTATCTATATACATTTCTGTCTATATACATGTCTGTCTATATACATGTCTGTTAATGTACATGTCTGTTTATTTACATGTCTATATACGCAGAGTATCAGTTCGGAAAGAATTACATAATCGGTTCGGTGTCAGGCGACTTCAGAGAACTGATCACTCCAGTTGCCTGGTTCCTCATCATCATGGGTTGCATCATAGGCGCCATCGCCATTATTGGATATCTGGGACTCAATCTGAGTATCAATGCCTTCTTAATTGCGGTCGGTTGTTGGTGCCTTTGTTGTCGATTTTGTTGTTGGGGTTTGCATTGTTGTTGTTGTTGGTATTGCTGTGTTGTGTTGTTAATTTTGTTGTTGGTGTTGTTAATTTTGTTGTTGGTGTTGTTGATTTTGTTGTTGGTGTTGTTGTTGGTGTTGTTGATTTTGTTGTTGGTGTTGTTGATTTTGTTGTTGGTGTTGTTGATTTTGTTGTTGCATGTCGATAGTGATTTGTTGATCAACATCATCCAGTACGCAGCACTCATCGGCACCATCATAGTCGTCCAAATTGTTATCTCAATCCTCTTTTACACTGGCGGAGTGAGTACAATGATGATGATGAAGAAAATGATGATGATATTTAAAATACCTAAACAAAAATTTGTTAAGTAAAAATTTTTTTAGTAATAGTTTAAACATAAAACGTCTGTCTTTGATGGTATAGATGATGGCTGTAATAATATTCACACAAACACGCTATAATACAAACCAACTCTCACACATATAACACACACACATATAAACATACATCATAATACATATTCACACACACGCACACCACACACACATACACACCCACATATATATATATATACACACATACACACACACACATACACACACACACACACACACACACACATTACGTACACAAACAAATCCACAACCAGTTAACAGGTCCGACGAACAACTTAGTGAAAAAGATTTTGGTGAAACATTACAAGGGACTCGAAGATTTAGACGATGGAAATGGGACTAACGTGTATGCTCTTACATGGAACGTTATCATGATGAAGGTAATTGTGCGTTTGTATCCTTTTGTCTATGCGTGTCTATAAATGTATGTGTGTGTTTGTTTGTGTGTGTTTGTTTGCGTGTGTTGGTGTGTGTGTGGGTTTTATTGTCTATAAGAAAAATAGTGTATCATTGCATATTGTATAATGTGCAATGAATTCTTAGAAATCTAGACATATGCTAGTTCATGATACATAGACATATAGATTGATAGATAGATACATACATATATATATTTTTTGGGTAAGAAACCTTATTGCGAAGTATTTTTATTACATTATTATATCTATATCACTTTTCAAAATAATAATAGTAATAAAAATATTGATAATAATAATAATGACAAGAATTATTATTTAGATGTTATTTCACATGAACTCCTAACATTTAACCGACGGCTCTTAAAAATTTTT